AGTGAATAACACAACTAACTTCGAGAGCGCATTTACGGCTGGATCTTAGATGCCTAATAAATAATTCTATATAAGTTTTTCTGAAATCCATGTACAGCCGTTAAACTGCGTAGTTTAATGGATTTCAGAAAAATTCATATAGAATTTATTAGGCATCTAAGATACTATATAGTTTTCTCATATTTGAAATTGGAACAAGCTTGGCCTTAAATCTGAAACAGATTCGAAATAATAAAACATAAAAACGAAACAAAATTGATTGAAAAAATAAATATCTAAAGAATACTCTTAGCTACCTGAAATACCTGAAATGACAGTCCTTTGTCATTTACAATAAAAAACATGTCACCATAATGGACGTATGCGTGTACTTTCTGTGCATCATGTATCATTATGCTGCTCAACTCAGGCTGATGCTGATAAACGGTGGAAAACAAGACGTAAGCACTTCTGCCGTAGTCGTGGACGTAAGTAAGACAAAAAGAACGTATACGTAAGTACTAATGATTTATACGTTTACGTTTTTCTCTGCTTTACGTCTATACGACTATGAGTAAGCGCTTACGCATTTCGTTAGAACTGCCATCAGTCTTATATATGCTGTACATCTTCCTTGTAAGAAAAAGAACAAAACTTCTTGAAAAATTAGAACTTTGATGTTTACAATGCCATTTTGTGTTAAATCTTAATAAACTTTCTTATATTCTAGTAAATACTTTTTCACAAAATGAATTCAGCATTATAATCTCAAAAAACAGCAATGAATTGATTGATAGGCGACGATAAAGATATATTTATAAGATACTGCATTCTTAATTTTTGTATTAAAAAAAATATTGTTGAAGTCGCTGAAATGATTTGCTGCCCTCGATGAAGCTAATATGCTTATCGAACATGCAAAAAATGATATTAAAGATTTCGTGATGGAAATTAAATTTGATCTCATTGTCAGAGAACGTCCCAGCCAACTTTGAAAATTTGATAATGAAGAACTGCAGCAACTATTGGCTAGGAGAACTCCGTACAAATGTAAGAAGAGCTCGCATTGCAGTGATCGGATTCATGCGAGAGATGATTTCCGTTTGACTGCAGTGACTGGGAAAAGTTCGAAAAAAGGAAGATCATGAATGGATGATATTTTTGGCGTGAGACTTTACCGCGTCCTCTTTTCGCGTATACGCTAAAATATAACAAATGACGATGCTTTGATATTAATCATAACTTTATTTATCTTAAAAAGAAAAAAAGGATTTCTTGTACCAAATTGTAATGGATGATGAAAATTCTATACGACAATTTAATTTGAGAGCATAGAAAAATCCTGAGTGGATTTTTCCAACTGAATCAACTGATAACATCGACTATGACTGCAAAACCTAATACCTTAGCTAAGAAGATTTTGCTTTTCGAAAACATGAAAGACATGCTCTATTATAAATTGCTAAATTCAGACGAAACAATCACAGTAGATTGCTGCCAAAAACATCTCATCAATGGAGACTATTTATTGATAAAGAAGTAATCTATGACAACGCTCGTTCACAAAAGCGATAAAGAATGTCATTTTCTCCTTGAGATGGAAAATTTTCATTCACAACTAACTCACCAGACATGATCTTTTTAGATTTTATTTGTTTAGATTTCTGCAACTATTCTATTTGTTTAGATTACTGCAACAGATCCTAGCAGATACACATTTCAAGATAATTGACAACGTTTCAACAATTGAAAATGCTTCGAAATCGCCTCGAAACCACCAATTAAGATTTTATCATGATAGAATTATTACCATTAAAAATCTGCCAAATAAATGGCATAAAGTCGATAATGACAATTTAATCATTACTATAATTTTTTTTATAAATCTTCAATTTTTCAAGAGACAATTTTCAAGAGACGAATTAATTTGCGTATTTAATATTGCTATCTACTTTGAAAGAAGTAATGTTCACGTTTCGGCAAGAAAGAAGATTAAATAATTTCTGAAACTTTCCAACTTTTTTATAACTATCTGATAAAAAATATTAAAAAATAAATTAAAATTTTTGCGAACATTCTATATAAGCGGTTCAAAAAATAATGAATTTTGATATTACGTAAAAAAAAAATTATTTATCTTTACTGGACTAAATAAATTCTTTAGTTATATGTATATAATTATTATTTGACTAATAAATCTATTAATTTTTTTAGATTTTATTAACGAAAAAGAAATTTCAGGCATTTACAAAGATTCTGGGGTGCATCCGGCGACTTCTGGCAAGCTCAGTGGGACAAAATTTTGGATAAATTTGGAGATGATCCTGTTACGCTATGGGTTTACGGTAAATTCGACATATACTTTATTATAAGTCTTCAGACATTCAAAAATATACTATATAGCATATATTACGTTTTATTATGAAAAAATAGTTAAATAATTTACGTAAAAATGTATTGTTAATTTTAATGACAAATGTTTTGATTAATTCGAGTAATATTTTTTAATATTTAAAAAAATTAAGACATTAAATAATAATTGCAAGATTTTTTTGAACTAAAATTTTTAAAAGCGAATCTAAACTGTTTTATAGAACCTTCCTTTTGATATTGGATATAAAGGATACAATTGATACAAAAGATAACAAATTAATTAATGTATTGCAGGATCCTTAGTGTTGACGTTCGCGGTTTACTGGATCGTCGGTGGAATTTACACTATCCTAGATATCACCAACCGGCCGACGGTGCTGCGCAAATATAAAATACAGCCCGGCACGAACGAGCCAGTGGACAAAAGGGAGTTATGCAAAGTGATCGCTCAAGTACTGTTCAATCAGATCGTCGTCGGCTTACCCATTATGTATCTCGGCTATTACTTCATGGAATGGCGCGGTTACCCCCCGGTGCGCGAGCTACCGACCTTCCACTGGGTGCTCGCTGAGATCGCGATTCACATATTATGCGAGGAGATTGGCTTTTATTACTCGCACAGGTACATCCTGCTTGGAAGTCACTAATCCAGAAACCCATATTCGCAATATTAAATTCAATAAAACTTGTATCTGCAGACAAAGGACCCCGCACAAAACCACGTGAAAATGGGTCCCAGCTAATGTAGCTGAATTTTTGATATTTTGTAGTTCTGATCGTCCTAATCAAAAGTCTCCATAGGCACAAAGTGCAAAAATGAGTAGTTTTTGAGTTAGTGTACATTACTACTCATTTTTGGACTTTGTGCCTATGGAGACTTTTGATCAGGACGATCAGAACTACAAAATATCAAAAATTCAGCTACATTAGCTGGGACCAATTTTCACGTGGTTTTGTGCGGGGTCCTTTGTAGTCGAAACGATCAACGGCCGCCGTTAATTTTATTCACTAGTGTCGAAAGTGATATCTCTGGCAAGCAATTAGAAATAAAGTTAATAATACATAAAATTAAGTATGAAAATGCTGACAACAGACAACTTGACAAGGTAAAACTCACATCAGAAGTAATTAAATCCCATAAATTGATTTATGGGATTTATAGCGTCATCTATCTTATATGATATATCCGTATATGAATCATTGAAAAGGAAAAAAATAAACAAATGTAAATATATACAAATACGATTACATAAAATCATAGAGTAACCATTATCAATGTATGCTCAGCAGCATAAAAACATATAAACTTATATTTTGCATAAACTGTAATTTTATTAATAAGTAGTTACTTCACAGTTTTATAAAAAATAATGACGCTAACAAATTTTTTGTAAAAAGAATTGAAGAAACTTAATTACTGCTAAGGATTTTTACGATATGTAAAAAGAAAATACATCACATAAATATACTTGAATAATATTAACGAAAGTTAGTATAAGAAATGATTAACATTTGATCTAACAATAAGTATAAACTTCGATTAAGTTTTATAATTTTTAAACAAGTACAAAAGTTCAATTATAAGAATTCCCATAATTACCAAAAATTATTTTCATAAATTTTATTTATTTTTCTCTAGGAAATATTATTAAATAAAAAAATGTCAATATATTCAAAAGTATTTCAATATATATAGTTGTATTTTTATGTAAGCTACTGTAAAAACAAAATGAATATATTTAGTCAAATGCAAATGCTCTGTGAACTAGTAACTATCTGTTTGCATATTAACTTGATAAATTTAGTTGTCAACATATTTTAAACTAAAATTACGGAGATAGAAATATGAATACAAATGATGTTCAATTAAACTCTATAAAACTTTTAATGAAGAAAAAGATCATTTCAGGCAGAATATCCTGCCAGGATATTATCCATTTATACAAAGTGAGAATTGCAATAATGCTAAATGGAGATTTATATTTGTTATGTTCGAATACCGCGCGTCAGAATATTTACTATTACTAAATTATTTTACAGACTTCTCCATAGCGGTTCCCTATACAAGTATATACATAAGCAGCATCATCAATGGACTGCACCCATAGCTGTTACCGCTTTGTATTGTCATCCCTTGGAAAACATTGGCTCGAATCTACTTCCACCCTTCTTGGGTGTATTCATCATGGGCTCCCATGTGGCCACCGCTTGGATTTGGTTCTCCCTTGCGATTCTTTCGACGTTGAATGCACACTCCGGCTATCATTTACCGTTCTTCCCTTCGCCGGAAGCACATGACTTCCATCATTTAAAGTAATGTCTCGTTCTTTTAAAATCTTTTTCATTTTAAATAATATTAAAACGTGAGATTTCGATCTCTGCATTTATTGTATGTATTATAATACATGCTAAAAATCACAAATTTCGTAACGTAAGATATGATCTTTATACTGACAATGAGTCTCATATAAAAAGATCAAGATTTATAATATTGTTGATTATACAATTAATTTATGTTTAAATGACTACTTTCAGGTTCAACCAATGCTACGGTGTGCTTGGCGTTTTGGACCGCATTCACGGTACCGACACACAATTCCGCAACTCGCGGAATTACATGCGTCATATAATGTTGCTTAGTTTCATACCGCCCAGGGAAGCTTTCCCAGACGAGGCAAAGTACAAGGCAAAGTAAAGAGCTCTTTCGATGATTCTATATGAAAGTTTTCAAAAGATAATTTCCGAAGAAAAAAAAACTATTCGCGTTGAATGCAATATTTCCGCAACGGCGACCAAGTCGAAATAGATCGTAAATATAATCAATTTTGTCCGGTTGATCGACAAGCTTCTTCTTCAATAACAGAATTGAATTAATTTCAGTAAATGCACAATTCTCGATCATTCTGCAGTCAGAAATCATCAATTATCTATTTTTCGATGAAAATTTATAGTAATTGTGTTTACTTTTCTTCATATTCTTTTAAATTTTATGAAAAATAAATTCCGTTTCTCAATATTAAATATATTGGCATTCCTTTCGAATTTTGTTTAATGCTTTATTTATTCCTATGTAAAAATTTAAAATTTTACATCTTTTTGGAAATTTATTCGATGTACGTATCATGTATGTAGCGTAATATTTAACTTATACTGGTTAAAGGACTCTCGTGAAAGAAACTCGGCTGTCCGTTCACTGATCTAGTGATAATGACTGTATATACAAATGCCATTCAAGGTTGGACTGAATAGAGAGAAAATAGCAAAAAGATTCCGGAAATTTGAGGCACGAAAATTGAATTTATACCTTTAAATTATTAATAGGAGGATTAATAAAGTTATTAATATAAGATTGAATAACGAAGTTGCTTCAATTTTACTTTGGAAGCAACAAAATGGATTTTCTATTATCTGAATGTTTGTTAGATTGATTTATATTATATAGATGTCTCTAAAAAAAACCTTCAATCTTCAAATTTAGACAGCACGCATATCCAAAATTGCGACATAGGGCGCTCTTAAAGATACTCATTAAGATACGGTTTTAGACAAAAGATCTCTTAATATCTTTAAGTCTTATATATCGTTTTTGGACATGCGAGTTGTCTGAATATATGTATACATTAGATTGATTCATAAATAAGTTTTGCTGTAAGTAATAAATACATACACAATTTATCTTTTCTGGAAATCTTAAATTCTAATTCTATGACTTAATGAGTCCCTGAATTGCAAATCAGTATTATAATTGCGCATATCATTTTATAAAATTGAAAGTAAAATTTTAAAATAGAAAGATTTGAAAGTATATGCGTCATATAATGCCTTAGAAATTAAAAAAAAGAAAATAACTACTGTTGTAATGATTTAAACAATTTAAAGTGTATATGGTGAATGTGTGATAACACTGGAGCATAAGAAAAATGGTGAATTTGTAAAGTTTTTTTCGGAAGATATAATTTTGAAAGATAAATCATGGACAAATCGTCATTCCGATTTCAACAATGATTTAAATTTATTGATGGAAACCCACACAGTATACAGTAAAAAAGCAGAGATATTAGTACCATATTGCAATTCCGAAACTATATAGAAAAACTCGATAAAAGAAAATGGAATTTATTTATGAATCAATCCAATACTTCATTTCTGTACATGCACTGTAAATTTACCAAACACATATTCTGAAAATTACATGTGACAAAGAATAAGGTTCTTCGATATTTCTCAATTTTTTCTTTCAGTTCGACCTTGGCGCCATTCGTACTTTTCTATAATATTTGTAGTATTATAAAAAATATGTATTGCATTTAAGCTGTATATTCATGCACAAGTTCTTACATTCAATTTAATAGCGTAATATATTTTACATTTTTTAAAGCTTCTTCGATACAACCGAATTGACAAGGTTTTTTTACAATGATGAAAGATAAAATTAAGTATTTACTATTATCGTAAAACTTCTGTTTTTAAATTCATGTTCTTTTGAATTTGATTACTTTTATTGTACTTTCAAGTGTAATAGGTATATTGCATTGTAATGAGAGCTTGAGAACAATTAATAATGTGAAGAATTACTATTTTTATATTTAGTTCCATAGAGCGCAGACATTAGTTCGATTTAAGTTTAATCTCAACTGAGATGTAAATAACTGTACTTCTTTAAAATAAGTATAACTTTTACTAGAATGTTAGAAAAGGTTTAGGGACTTGGATTTCTCCTTACACTGATTGTGAGAGAAAAGTATAGTCAATATACTGTATTGATTATATAGAGATAGACGCACACATATGTATATTAACACCAATAATTTTATCGGACAATGAATCTTTATTATAAAACGTTTTCATACTCCATATTTTTCCTGCGAGAAAGTTAGGTCTCTGTTTATCGAACCTGAATCAAAAAAGTAGAAACATATATTCTTGTCCGATTTTATTAACTATAATTTGATATAATTTTAAATTGTATTTAACAAGATGTTATCATAACAGAACTGTTCTTGAAGATCTTACAAAGATTTAGAGGAAATATATATACTTGTTACTTTAAAATAATCTTAGATCACTGAAGATTAATAAGAAATAAACCGAAGATTAATATTCGAGTGTGCAGATGTATAAAGCGTGCAATATATGTAAAGCTCTCTTTCTGCATTGTGATTACTCGTCGAGTATAAGGCTCGTAATTAACATATACCACTAACGTTATATATATATATATATATATATATATATATATACTGAATTTATGTACCTATATGATAAGCTTATTAATAAAATCTTTACAAAGTCACTTCTTTTCTCTTTTTCTCCTCCTTCAACTTTCAATGTCTATAATAATTAATATACATCATTTTATAATAGGTGTACGAAATGATGTAACAACATGCAATATGCAAATATATGTATATATATTTTTTTCTTTTTGTAACAATGTGAATATTTTTTTTCTTTTACATAGACAGTACAAAAATAATAATTATTATTATTGCTTTTTCCCATGTATACTTGATAAAATATAGACTTTCGAAGGCCTAAAACGCAACTTTGCTTTTAAAAATCGCAATCTCAAAAGGTCTTATACAGATTGAATAATTTCATAAAACATTGACCATATTTACATAACGAGACGACATTTCGTTATCAATGTCTGCTCTGATATCCTGCACGTATGGCAATTATATAAAGTACTTAATCATTAGATGAAAATCTAAATGAATTGAACTTTTGCAAATTATCCTGCAAAAGGATACAGATGCAGTACAAACAAAAAATGCAACTAACAAACTTACAGTGTATAAATCGAGTAGCTCTTTGGTAAAATGTACACTATCGCATTTCATACGTTAAACAATTCTTATAAACTACGGTTCTTATGGAAAAGATCACGCGCAATACTATTTGCTGAGGGAGCACTTCCAAAACACATAATTCTGTTCTTGAATTAATTAATACAGTCCTGGCTATATAAAAATTCAATTATTATTGTCAGATTTGGCAATTGGACCCTCGGTAAATCTCTTTTACATTCTCCAATGCAAGAGATGGCATTAAATGCGACACGTATGTACATTCACGTACAAAAGAAAAGAAAGATTTTTGTATAATATTTATACAGAAATTTGTTCACAAATTTGGTTTAATAGAAACAAGTTTTAGATAAAAATTTAATATATATATATATATATATATATATATATATATATATACATATATATGTACATATACATATTAAAAAAATATTTTAGAAAATTATGTTAAATTTAGAAACTGCTGTAAAGTATTTACAAAACCGTTATTACAATGCCATCAACAATATTTGTCCTTCACAATATGACTTTAAACCTTAACACGTCTATAATATTAAGGCAATAGTATGATAAAAAAATTGCATAGCAAATTTAGATATCAATGTAGTGAGCTTAGATATTATTACAATGTTACGATTAGTACAATACAGTAGAGTCTCATTAAATTTAATTTCTCTAATCTTTGCATATTTTATAGGCACTAATGTGCCCCTTTCATATCGTAATGGGCGGCTCTACTATGTGATATACGTATATATATACAAATATATATATATACACATAATTTGACAGTTTATTGTTAGCGTGCGCAACTGCGTAGCGATTAACAGGCTGCTGTGGTGAGGATATTCCATAATTTTAGGCTTCCGCTCTTAATTATCATATCATAGGGTAATCAAAATTTAGATTAAAATTAGGAAGACTCTACTGTACATCGTTTATAAAAGTATCAAGATCTTTGATATATTATAATGATAGGTATCGTTGTCGTTTGGACATTTATATCGTTATGTAAGAAGAAATCAATGCAAAGTACATCACTTAGCTGTGTCAAAACATATACAATAAATTTGCGTTTGCAAATCGAATATGGAAGAACGCGAAAATTGATGATTGACTACTTCTTACACAACGTCTATTTAATCTCATGGAACAGACTTTTTCTCATACGGTCTCTCAGTCATTGTACATTCCATCGATCAGAAAATCCATCCTTCGATAGTGCCTCTTATCCCAACAATCTCGACCACGCCTGTACAGTACGAAAATCACAGCGCCCAATATCGGTAAAGCGACGATTGTTATAATGACCGGCACAATGTAGTCGATTTTCCTTGGCATGCCTAGTGGAGGATTCTTTGTTCGTGAGAGCGGTATAGATTCATTAATTTCTGGCCCGTCAACAGTCGTTACCGTTGGTTTAGGCTTCGGTATATGCGAGGATGCTTTCGTTATCGTATTATTCATAATATTTGGATGAGATGTGGTTCCATTTGCCGGCATCGGACTTGCGTTGGAGTAGCTGAAGTTTACACTACGATTTAAGTTGTCGTCGGAGCGTGGATTAGTGGCATTTAATTTCGGGGTGTTAATGCTGGAAGTCACGGATTTGATATGAGCTGTTTCTATTGCAGGACTACTTCCCGTTATGGGTTTCATATTTTCCAAAGTGGTCCGATTAAATAATATATTTTCCTTCTCTGGATCCATATTCTGATCTATACTTTTCGGTGTAATATTCTCAACTCCCTTCCTCGGTTTTATTTTATCCTGAACTCCCTTCCTCGCGACTACAGAAGAAGAACCGGTATATCTCTTAGGCGCATCCTCCTTTGCTCTGATTTCGCCAGGCTTATTGGATTCTGTTGTAACTTCATGTTGAGATACTGACATTAGTAAGGGTCCTCCTTCCCCCATAGTTGAATATCGCTGGAAAAATATTTCATTGTTTTATAAAAACTTATTTTCCTTAAAAAAACTAGATCTATATCTTAAGTTAAATAAAAAATCTATTCCTAATTGCAGAAAGCTTATGAAAACCCATCATAAAGCTAATAGGAGGCAACTATTTACAGTTAACGCTACATATTTATAGATAGACACACAAAATAATTATGAATAATACAAAAAAAATAGAACATGATTTCAAAATTTGAGAAAAAAAGATAGACAAGGTACAACATAATTAAATAATTTTAAATAAAATAAGAAACATAAAAGAGGATAAAACAAAAAATAAAATAGGATGTAAATAGAGAAAATTCAAAGAATCGTCTAGTAAGGAAAAAATTAAACAAAATAAATAAAGAATATATAAAACAGAAAAAATAAAAACAAAAATAAAGAGAACTTTATAACTTAAGAAAACTACTTAAAAAAACAAATTATTATAGCACAAAGAATCATAAACATAAGAGAAAAGAGAAAATCAGGCCAAAACGTGAGAAGGAAAAAATGCAAATAACAAAACAATAAGATTAAAAATAAGACTTTATAGCTAAAGAATTATTACAGTACAAAGAATCATAAAAGGAAAAGGAAAATCAGGCTAAAACGTGGAACGGAAAAACTACAAATAACTGTCTATTAAGCTGATACAGCTACTTTAGCACAATCGAATAAAACTTATACAGATTTTTAGTGCTCTTTTGTTGCTCAATTTCCGATTTTGTTGCTCCAGCCGATTCGTAGAAAATAATAAAATTAAGATTAAAGTTAGCACAGCCATAAAAAAATAATAAAAAATTAAAAAATACGACATATTCTTGTAATGCTAATTTGTTGCTCAATTTCTGATTTTGTTGCTCCATCCCGAATCCTTGAAAATCATCCCTAACTACCCTATATCAGCACAATACCTCAAAACGGCAAATTATTCCAATATCTCGACAGATTACGTTTCCCTGATTTTACGGAATGTTTAACGGAATGTTTATTAAAACATATAAACACTTTTCCTTTATGATCATGTGTTTGTCACGATAATTTTGGATAATATACGAGTTCCAACTTCCAGCGTCTAGCGCAGAGGTCGAAGGAGAGTTTAATAAATTAAAAAATTATTTATTAGAAAATCGTACTTTACCTATAAGAGTGGACGAATTTATAAAAATTTATTTAAACTTTTTACATGATAAATTAAAAATTGTAAACGCAAAAGAAAATAGTACGTTCTCAAAAGACGAAAATACATGCATAAACAAAAAAGAAGAAATATAAAATATCGAAACTGCAAAAACTGCAACAAAATGTCCAGCTTGTCTAAATAATGGATACACCAACTAATACACATGTTTGTGTGATTTGTAAAATATCTGTTCATGCATTACAAGAATGTTCAGTAGTTTATGATGAAAAAGAGGGATATGGACAAAAGTGTATTTGCTTATCATATTGAAAAGTTCGGAAGAAAATTGCCTCACAAGAAATAAAAAATTGGCAAAGATTAAGAATGTAAAAAAACAAACAGCAAAATATTTAGAAGAATTAGCACCACATACAAGACGCTCTAGCATGGAGCAAAAGTACCAAACTACCTATTATTAAAAATGGCAGTACCATAGCTTTACAAGCTATCAACATAAATGGTACAAATTATTCTCTAACGAATATCTGTGCATTTGATAATATTCTACAAATTGTGTTTGTAGCTGTGTCAGACTACAAACATTTTGCGAACAAGATATATTATTTTAAATAATTGTCTTTTCCCAAAATAAAGTATAAATAATTATAAAATAATTATTAATGTATAAAATTAGAATAAAAAGTATTAAAAATCAAAAATTTTAACAGTTTACATTCTATAACATAGTTTATATTCTACTTTTCTATAATAATGTCTACTGTAATCTTTAGCAACTTATAATATTTATGGTTTATTTTCAATTGTGATATTGTTAAGACGTAATTAATCAAATTTTAATGAAATATAGACATCTTTTTTTAATTTATTGTATACATGGTGCGCGCGCGCGCGCATGTGTGTGTGTGTGTGTGTTGTGAGAGAGAGAGATAATTATTTACAATATATTATTTCTAATATAATAAAGTTTAAGCTTTACTTTATTACGTAGATACGTGCAGCAGAAAGTAATCCATTATTTGAAATCGCCATTAATATTTTAAATAAAAGTATAATGGTACACACATACAAGTTCCGTGCACAAATATTAAAGCCTATTTTTTTTACTGAAGACTCACATTCTAAAACTTGTGTACTAATTGATTGCCAAACCAATGCTGGATATTTGGCTGGTACTTTTCAAAAATACACCAAGTTTTAAGGAAAAAACAGTCTGCAATATGGGATGTTCAACACCAAAAAACTATCTATTGCACAAATCGATTCCAGTATATTGGGAAATAATTTTTGTTATAAATAATAAAATTATATTAACTGGAAAAAAGTATTGTCAAAAGAATTGTCCAGGTTTTAAAACAACAACACTTTGCAAAATAGGTAAATGAAATTATGTTATATTTTTAATGTTTGGAGACACTTTTGGATCAAGACTTTTGAACCAAGACTCTAATCTTATTTAATTTATTTCTTGGATCAAACGCTATTCTAATAAATTTGTGATTATCATTAATTATTTCTAAAATATATATTAAAATGTAATAATAAAATTATGTAATAACAATAAGATACAATAAGATGACGACCTTAAAGTTTGTCAATTTTTTCTAATTTGTATGATGCAAAAATAATAATCTATTTTTTCGTGATTAGCTAAAGTCTTGCTTAATATCTGCAAAAAGTTTATAAATAAATTAGACCTTTTCTAAATTAAATTTTTTGAGGACGTGTCAATTTCGTCAATTTGCACTCATATATGAGCAAGATAACTTTTTATTGTAGGCAAGATAAAAAAAATTGAAAATAAATAAATGCACTGAAAAAAAATTGGTTGTATAAAATAAATTTGTATAGTTCGATCTAATGCTTGATTCAACAATTATTTAAGCTACACAAAATAAAGTATAATTTATTCTTGTTAATCATCAAAATTTTTTAATATTTATTTTGTATTATCATAGTAATGCTTAATTGAAAATTAAACATTACTATGTATCTAAATATTTTTAAAATTTAACAAAATTTTTTCTCAGTGCAGATATCAATCGAATTATTCAATTGATTTAAAGTTTTGAGGTGTTGTGCTGATATAGGGTAGGGAGGGGTGGTTTTTAAGGGTTTAGGATGGAGCAACAAAATCGGATTTGTTGCAAATCGCGAGCAACAAAATCAGGGAAACGTAATCTGTCGAGATATTGGAATAATTTGCCGTTTTGAGGTATTGTGCTGATGTAGGGTAGTTAGGGATGGTTTTCAAGGATTCGGGATGGAGCAACAAAATCAGAAATTGAGCAACAAATTAGCACTACAAGAATATGTCGTATTTTTTATTTTTATTTTTTTTAAATGGCTAACTTTAATCTTAAGTTAGCACAGCCATTATTTTCTACGAATCGGCTGGAGCAACAAAATCAGGAATTGAGCAACAAATTAGCAACAAAAGAGCATTAAATTTCTCTATAAGTTTTATTCGATTGTGCTAAAGTGGCTGAGTCAACTAATAGACGTGCAAATAAAACAATAAGATTAAGGATGTATCCATTATAGTAAAAAGTTTGAAATTGGAAATGTGTTAATATTTATTTTCATATAAAAATAAAATAAACTATGTACATATAAAAATTTTATGAATATTATATTTTTATTTAATAGTATACTTATATGATTTATTTACTTTATTTGTTATTATCTTTTATTAGAATACTTCAACAAAAAGTAATGTGGTAAAAATGTTAATTTCTTTTTTAAATGTACTTGAAATATTCAAAAAGATTTATGCAAAGTTTCACTATACAATGAAGAAATTAGTCGTTCTGTTGTAAATAAACAATTTATTTGTTTATTTACAGAATTAATTTCTGCATTGCAATAAAATTTTACATAAATCATCTTGAATATTTAAAGTACCTATCAAAAAATTAAGATTTTTGTTATTATATTAAGTTAAAATATTGTAATAAAAATAATAGCAAATAAAGTAAATTAATTTAACACATTATTATATGTATAAAAATATAATGTTTCGCAAATTGTTGTGTAATTTCGCAAATTACACAACATTCTTTTATGCAACAAAAACTATATTCTTTATAGCTACACTCTGTCATGCTTCCCATACTTAAAATGAAATAGGATATGATATAGGTGTAAGAAAACGTTTTCTTACACCATGGATATGATGTGATCGTAAGACGTCGCGTCGGAGTGAAAAAGAAGGAAGATGAGCCGTTCTACGAAGCTAACACAGATGAGGAAGAAATTCAGTGCAATTCTCACACGTGCAAGCGGGGAAATGCGCGTTCGCGCAGTGCGCACCATGTGTACCTACCAACGCTTTCTTGACACCCGTTGCATCAGGAGGCTCGACTGTCAACGACGGCGCGGGCGGTTCGATCGGAGAACCGCGACCGGGCGTCGACGATACCGAGGACGTGCCAGCTGCCGCGGCGTTGACAGACGAGTTTAGCGCCGCAACGAACAGCGTGATCACCAACAGCAGCCGCAGCAACGGCGAGTATGCGAGATCGAACGCTGCCATATCGCGCGTCGCGGATGCGCGTCGACGATCAACGTGCACGAGAACTCCGGGTAATCCGGCAGGGCGAAACGCCGAAACCGGAGACACCCTCTCCCGCGGAGGCAACTTAAAATAAAGGGGAACGGAAAAAGAAAAACAAACGAGCCGCCCGCAGCACCGCGAGAACGAGCCGATGGTCAGTCCATAACCGCTGATGGCCGCCGTCAACTGTCTTACTTACTGTCGCAGTCGCGCCGGTCGCGCGTGCGGGAAGTGCGGGAGCTGCGAGCCTCTCTTTCATTTCGGCTGCACTTTCGCTGTTTCCCTCTCCGTCTCTCTCTCTCTCTCTCTCTTTCTCTCTCTCTCTCCTCCCTCTCTCTTCCAAGTTTCTCTTTCAATTTGCAACATACAGGGTGTCCTAGAATCAGCAAAAAGTGAGTGCAATAAATAATTCCCAAAATGGGAATTAATCCCTATCTCATCTTTCAAGTCTTCATCTTTATTTATCCTCTTTCTTTCTAATATCTAATTATGGGCTTTTTATTTCATTTTAAGTATAGAATAAGTAGTGCGCCGCAGACTCGGCAGTTGAGCAATGCAAACAACAGACCTACATATACCGTTCATACAATTGTTAGAAATAACTTTTTAGAGAAAACTTTATAGCAACTTGCGAAAGTTTCACGATGCTTTCGCAATAAACGTGAATATATAACGTATATACTGGCGCATTATTACCAGATATAAATTATCTGCTTATGAAATTCAAGGAATAAAAAGATGAAAAGGTCTTTTTTTGTTATTTAAGTTTTACTACTAAATATGTTAAATTAATTTGTAAAATTTTAATTAAGTTTATTTAACAAACAAATTGTCCGATTTGCCAGCAGATTGGCAGGAAATTTGATAAATTAGCAAACTGCCATCAATAATTATATCTATATATTAAACTCAAGCGTTTTGCTGACAGAGCCTGATAGCAGCTATAGATCTGTCGAACGCGCAGTAACTTCTGCTCCATTTCCGCCGCGAAACTGTGTAATAAAGTATGTCAAAGCTTTGATTTCTATACTCACAATCAACCTACCATCATATTTTGTTCACTGCCAACATTCTGCTATAATAGCATATGTATATACATCACATGGGCGTATGCAAAGGGTGGGGAGAGACAGGGAGGAGACGTTTGCCCTAATTTGGCAGAGAATAATTAAATTTAAAAATCTTTTTTTTTTTACGAAAAGAAAGACGTATATGGAAAAAAGTATTAAGAAAGTTCCTCGAAGACTGATTTTAAAATACATATAAATATTTTAATAAAAATTTTGTGTGAAAATAAATTTTTACTCCCCCTTTCAAATAAAATTTGGGTACGCCATATGTATGTTTATTTATACATATTGGATCTTGTATCAAATCTTATAGTTTCTCTTGACAAAGTGTAATAAAATCTATTTTCGATAGATTGATCACCATCTATCATTTTTATATGCGCTATCGCACGTGTTCTCATCTCTATTTTTATCAAATACGAAAGTATACATACAATAAACTTTTACATCATCGAAATTAATGCGCGGAATTTAACGCGATATAATGAGAGATATATAAATAATTAAAAGGAGAATCACGGAGACATTTCGTACAATTGGATTGCCTCGATCCCCGAAATATCTTGAATTTTACATTAAGTACGGACGTAAGGAGAAGCTCCTCCCAAAATATAGCGATCCCAAACCCGCGGCGAGCTCGCCGGCCGAGATTTTTGCGTTCTTAACGGGTGCGATGTTATTAAAAATAATTGAAACCTTCGCGAATGTAAGAAACAGACAGCTAGAATCACCGGCTGTAAGTCGCGAAGGATGTAGGCAATAAACGTAAGTGGGAAACACGTAAGTATACACGTTATACTGTTGACGACGTTGACGTCAATGCCACACATATTATCCGGTGGCGCCGCGACATACACGAGACAACGCGGACAAACGATAATAAAGCATTAATAAGGCTCATTAAATTCACGAATTTAATACGTACTACGTTTTATTTAGGCAACGTGGGAGGGGAGGAATAATTCTCTCTTTTTTCTTTTCACATTATCTTTTCTCTCCTCGTGGCCGGGCATGGCTGTACCACTTATCGTGGCGAAATATGTACGTGACTGAGGCTTGTTACTGCGTATGCGTAGCGTAGATCATCGTATGATCCAATGACTGAGAACGCTATACGTATGCGATGATATTGTATATATATATATATATACATATATATATATGTATATATATATACATATGTGCGTGCGTATGCGTTGAGCGTACGTTTGGTTTGACATTCGTTTCACATTGCGTTTCAAAGCTGCCAGTTGTGACCACTTTGGTTGATTTTCGGGAAAATGCGGCTTTCCCGTTTTTTCACAGATCCCCGTCGACTCGGCGCTTAAAGTATACCGATCGTTTCTGGAATCAGACATCAGTAGTCGTTACTAACAAGGTATGTATATCGCAGCTTTTGATGATCACGATGATTTTAACCCCTAATTTCTCGAGATTTGGTATCTACTCCTGTTGTTCTTGGTGAATTTAAACGCTCCGGAAGCTCTGTAATCATAACTAATTTACAAGTTGACCCTTTGCCTCGTGACTCACGATAACAGATCTATGTACATAATATTTCTGTCAGCATTATTGTATCTTGCTCGTAAAGCTAAGTTATTTGATATCAACTTTTAGCTAGCTTACGATTAATTTCAAAGTACATGTGGTATATAAAAACTACATTCACAAGTGCATGATAAAATTAAGTGGATTTATCAAGGGCAGATAAAATTTGAACTTTATGTAAGGCTAAGGCCTTATATATATATATATATATATATATATATATATATATATAAAATTTGATTAGAAACCTTTTCGAATTATAAGATAGTAAAATGTGGATACAGAGTTACATAATCTTTATTTTTCTTACAGCACACAAAATGCGTAGCAGAAGCAACTCTGGCGTCCGTTTGGACTATTACCAACGGATTGTCCACAAAATAATCATGAATTATCAGAATCCTGTTACTGGACTCTTTCCCGCAAGTGCTGACAACGACCATGCCTGGATACGGGATAATATTTACTGTATACTCGCTGTCTGGGGTCTATCGATGGCCTATAAAAAGATAGCCGACGCTGACGAGGATAGAGCAAAAACTTACGAACTCGAGCAGAGCTGTGTCAAGTTAATGAGGGGTCTCCTGATGGCAATGATGCAGCAGAAGGAGAAAGTGGAAAAGTTCAAGTCTACTCAAAATCCACACGATGCCCTGCATGCAAAGTACAGCTCTACCAATGGCCAAACCGTGGTTGGGGATACCGAGTGGGGACATCTTCAAATTGACGCGATTTCTCTATATCTTTTGATTCTGGCCCAAATGACAGCCTCTGGCTTGCAGATTGTTTTCAACTTGGATGAGGTTTTGACATTCATATTCCTGTGAACTTGAATAACTGCTTTTTTTTTTAGTAATAAAAGTATAAATATATTTGTGCAATGTCAGATTTACTGATTTAAGAAATTGAATTATATCAGTAATTTTGTTGTTAATTTTAGGTGGCTTTTATTCAGAACTTGGTATTTTACATCGAATCTGCCTATTGCACTCCGGACTACGGTATTTGGGAAAGAGGGGATAAAACGAATCACGGTTTGCCGGAATTGAATGCAAGTAGTATCGGAATGGCCAAAGCCGCGATGGAGGCAATGAACGAATTGGATCTGTTCGGCGCAAGAGGTGGACCTACGTCGGTTATTCACGTTCTGGCCGACGAGGCGCAGAAGTGTCAGGCAGTGCTGCAATCCATGCTGCCCAGAGAGTCGAACTCCAAAGAGTTGGACAGTGGTTTGCTGTCGATCATAAGTTTCCCTGCGTTTGCAGTGGATGAGCCTAATTTAATTCACGAGACACGCGAGGCCATTATCAAAAAATTGCAAGGACGATACGGTTGTAAAAGATTTTTAAGAGATGGATATAAAACGCCAAAGGAGGATATGAATAGGTACTTATTTAGTGATATTTTTTATATAGCAAATAGAAACATATTTTTGTATTTCTAATAAAATTCGCTTTTGCTAATAATTATATCCTTGAAAATAGATTGTATTATGAACCATGGGAGCTCCGTATGTTTGAGAACATTGAATGCGAGTGGCCGTTGTTCTTCTGTTATTTAATATTGGATTACTGCTTCCAAGGTAATAAAGAAGCAGTTGAGACGTGCACCAGACAGTTGGAGGAAGTAATGATTAAAGGGGAAGATGGTATGAAATTGGTGCCTGAATTATACTCGGTCGCACCTGAGAATGTATCAGCGGAGTATGCTGAGCCCGGTAGTCAAACTCGAATAGCTTTAGGCAGATGTCCATTTAAGTGGGCGCAATCTCTTTATATTCTAGGAAAATTGCTGCAAGAGGTAACACACTTTCACAAACATAATTGAAGCAAATTGAAAACTTTCTTAAATTGCCACAAAAAAGTCATTACTAGACAACATATTTCTTATAATTCATATATAAATATTAAAAATATTTTATGATTTTATCTGCTCTTTTTCCCATGTATGTTTTGTAAAGTATTTTAATTTACTAGAAAGTTTGTATTCAATAACTGTATTCAATAAAACAATCGTATTAAATAATATATTAATAACAAAATATTTTTATAACATAATTTTTTTTAATAATATCTGTCATTAGGGATTTCTCGCGGTTGGCGAGTTAGATCCCTTAAATAGACGATTATGTAGCGAGAAAAAGCCGGATGTTGTAGTACAAGTAGTTATCTTGGCAGAAGACACAGAAATCAGGGAAAAAATTGCGCAGCACGATATTCATGTACAAACAATTGCCGAGGTTTCACCGATTGAAGTACAACCTGCAAAAGTTCTCAGTCATTTGTACACGTATTTAGGTACGACTCGACAAAATCGCAAATTGCTTATGATTATCTTTTTGAAAGCACAATTTAGATATTGTTTTTAGGACGCAACAAAAAATTGGGACTGTCCGGGCGTAAGTCAAGGGACGTAGGAATTCTCAGCACTAGTAAACTGTATTCCTTACACGATAAGATATTCGCGTTCACGCCGCAGGTAAATCTCCAAACTTTACAGTAAGCTTCACCATCTTTTTGTATCTTTACTTCTTTTCTTATGTTTCCTCTTGGTCTCGCACCGAATTGACTAGTTGACAGATATGACCCGCTTCTACATCGCATCGGACTATGAGCTCATGATTGACATATTCAAAGGTGAAATTAATTTCTTGAAGTCTAGTTGGCAGAATATGTTGGGCCGGCCTCTCGTGGTCATGCCCCTCAAGAATATTCATCTAGGTAATTTAACGATTTCAAAATCATAGTTCCTTTTTATAGCCGCTACCTTAGGCTTTCTGAAATCCGTTTTGAAGTTGTCATGATTAGGAAAATTCTGTGGCTCGTACGTTCTTAGAAATTATGACCAATTTCTTGCGTGAAATCTTCGTCTTTTTTTTTTACAAACACTGTGACTGTCCGCTCTCAACAACTAATGTCTGCTTGCATGCGTTTGTTTTTGTTATGGTTTCATTTAACAGTTTCATTTAACTCTCTATGGCTTAATATGATTTTGAAAACTTTTTGACTTATTTTGATCATATATGCCTTATAATAATCCATCGTTATGTAGATTCTAACTGTAATTTAAATATGATACTAATTAAGCAATTTAGAGAGAGAGAGAGAGAGAGAGTTTCAAAATTAGTAATATTACATAATATTATCCATGGAGAGTGACGACATGAGCTTTTAATTAGTTTTCATTCATGTTATGTTTCTATTCTTTTCATTACTAACATGACATGGACACTTGGACCCCTCAAAAGTGGATGCGATTGTGAGTTGTGTTGACATTGAAGGTGTTCAACTGGTACAATGCGAGATATTCGAGGCGAGATTGTTTCATCTTCAAGCATCAAGCAATAAAATTATCCTGAATTATCCTGATATGGCTTATTATGTGTTCGGTGGTATGCGCGTGTGTTGCATGTGTTAGAAATTTGACACGGAGGAGTACTACACAACATACGACGTCGACCTGCTTGTGAACACTTTTACAACCACTTTGGCCTTCCTCAAAATCAACTGGAAGCAAATGCTCGGCAGACCAACTGTAACCCTTGTCGCTACTCATAATCATTTAGGTACGGCTTCGACGAAAGCTTTAGATCTCATCCTACAACAAAAAGCTCGTCGGATATTATATAGGATTGTGTAGCATAACAATGTGAGCGTGAAATTAATTAATTGTTAGAAACCATGTATAGGATATTATAAAATTTGAGTATAAATATCCTACTGCAATAGTAAAGTTTGTAAAAAAATAAGTAAACAAATGCAATTTTTTTTATTTCGAGAAGTAGCTTTTAAATACAAATTTGAAATTTAGATAAATCATGAATTCAAATGTTGTTTGTCCGTAAATCGCATGTATGATAATGTTAATACATAATTTTTTGTCTAGCATCAATCATCATAAGCGAAGTACTCTTTAATTATAATTTGTAATTATTCATCAAATTTAAAAATTTTTCTGAAATAAAAAAAAACATGCATGCATTTTACATTGCTTAGTTTTTTATGACTTATAATTTCTATGCCTGAATTTTGTGATAGTCTGTAAAAAAGCTTCCGTTTGCGCTATGAAAAAAAAAAGACATTTATCTTTATTTTTGTTTTATATCAAAGTTAATTAACAATTTTTTTTAGATCAAGGTAAAATACCGTTAGCTATGATAACTACCTTGAAAAAACTTAAAAGCGGCTACATCAACGGTACTAGAGTATCATTGGGAAACTTGAACGAATTCTTAAGCACGTCGTGTATCACGAATCTTAGTTTCTTGGGAAGTTCCGAGGATGGCCGTCCTGATAAACTAAATCCTCAGGTATGTAGAATTTAAATGGCATATTTGTTCGGAATAAAGCCACATGCATTAACAGAATTATTTGCAAAATAATTAAACATCTCTCAATGTATAATTAAAACTCTCAATGTATTTTCAATTTTTATATAACACATAAACTCAAATAGTATACAAAATATTTTTGATTTATATATTGTATATGTAATTCTTTTTTTTTTATGCTTACAAGCTTCAACAATATTTGGAGGAACATTTAATGCGGCCGTTCCCTCATCGTACAGGACTTCTTAATAAACACGGTCCAATACGTACAGCAAAAAATCTGCGGCGCAGGATGTCCGTGAAAGGCGCGATAAAAAAAACGCGATCCATAGCTGTCGAACGTAAGCAACATTTGTCCCGTTAAAATATTCCCGACGGAATGGTTTTCATATTCTAACTGTGTGCTGATTGTATGTCTTTTAAAGAGGATTCTTAAACAATAATGCAATGTCTTCCTACTGCTGTGATTGTTACCATCTTCCAAGAAAGTAAGTTCATTAACTGAGCACTGTTTAATCTCTATCTAATCTTTAAAATCGATGATCTCTAAAGATGATCTTTAAATTCGTAAATACGAAAAGATCTTTCCGACCCACCTAATAATACTTGTAATTGAAACAATCTTTGTGTGATTTGTTATGATCTATATCTCTTCTGATTATTAAATATATTATACATATATTACTACATATACAAAGTGGATACTAATTGTAAGTATTGTAAAAGATTTTAATGTGATTCCTCACATAAATTTCAGACAAAAACATCATGTGACTATATGCGTGAAACAGCTTAATTTCAAAGATATAGAGCGTCAAAGTTGAAAGTAAAATTTCGTTTTTTCCTAAAAATTTCAAAAACCACTTGGATTATTATGATAAAGTTTTGTGTATATTTCAAGCTTCATAAAAATAACGCGAGTGGTTTTGAAATTTTTGGAAAAATGCCAAGTTTTTTCTTCAACTTTGACACTCTGCATTTTTACTTCTTGTAAACCATTTCACTCTTTAAAATCTTTTACATTACTTAATATCCACTCTATATGTATTGTAATATGATTTGTTAATGTCGTTATTTATACATATACGGATTTATTTATATTATAACAGATGTTTTAATATGATTTAAAAAATATAATATTAAGTTTATACAAATTAAAAACTTCTTTTACGCTATTTCAGCTGAAATTCTTGGAATGGCAGGGGAAGACCGTAGGCATTCTACTATTTTAATTGCAAATCCATTTATTGAAGTGACGGATACCACCTTGTCTCTGAACGCGACTCAACCAGTGGCGATTGAACGCACACCATCTCCAACAGACGAGCTATTATCGTGGAAAAATTCTCCCAAAACCAAACATAGAACAATATCTGAGACCCAGTATGCCGAGACTGAAGTGGAGGAATTGCTGTCTATGCTGCGCGAAACGGAAAGTCTTGAAGAACAAGGAGATATTTTGCAATATATTGTTAGTACATTTCCTTTTGTTTTAATTTTAATTTTGTGGAACGAGATTTTTCATCAGCTTGTTTGCAAACGGCTCAAAGATTATTTTACATATGCATATAACTATTACATAGGTGGACTCGAAGGGATTACTTTTCGACACGGGTGTACTAGAAGAGGGACATCCCGTTCTGGTGAAGGATTTGCTAAAGAGTCTCTACGAGAAAGCTTGTCAACAGAAAATGTGGGGTATCGTGCGACACAGCGCGGGTATGCTGGGCAAAAGAGTGGAGGATTTAGCGAAGGCGGTTACCGATCTACTGGTGCGACAGAAGCAAGTTACGGTTGGCATGCCACCGAGCAACGAGCATACGATAGTCGCGCCTCTACCAGAGAACGAACTGCGAGCTCTGATTCATCAGGCATACGGTGACGACGAGTCGACTGCTATGTTGACACAAGAACTGCTCGTTTATCTGGCGATGTTTATCAGAACGGAGCCGCAACTGTTCCACGAGATGCTGAGACTGCGCGTCGGCCTCATCATACAAGTTATGGCGACGGAACTGTCACGAACATTAATCTGCACCGGTGAAGAAGCTTCCGAGCACTTGCTAAATCTGTCCCCTTTTGAGATGAAAAATTTGCTGCATCACATTATGAGCGGAAAAGAATTTGCTATTAGTAGCGGTACGTTTCTGTTTTGCGATTAATTAAATTTTGCATTAGAATATTTATGTAACGATCACTTGTGTGTTTATGTCGTAGTTGGCCGTGGCAACTTTTCCGTCATTAGCTGCAAATCAAATAGAGTCAGCAAGGTAATATTGTCAGTACAATGGATAAAGCTACATTTGAGACTTGGCATCTACTAATTAACACATTAATTTATAACATATAGAAATATATTTTAATCTTTTATTTTTTTAATTTAATTTTTTGCCATCTAGCTATATTTTAGCTTGATATTTATATTTAACAAATTGATAATTGATTCATATTCTACTGTCTACAAATTAATGAATGTATGTGTAAAGTTAAACATCTTCCTTTTGATAGAAATCTCAAATTGGTGGTTTCTTAAGCGCTGATCAGAATGTTGATAATGAGGCAGAAGCAGATCGGCAGGGTCAGTGGTTGCGAAGGCGACGATTAGACGGTGCGTTAAACAGAGTACCGAGAGATTTCTACCCGCGTGTGTGGCAAGTACTCGAAAAGGTAAGTTTATAAATCGCTATTATCCAGTAATATATAAATGCAAAATTTTCAACGTTCTTTAATTTCATAAAAATTTTGACTTTTAACAGTGTCACGGTTTAGCTATCGAAGGAAGAGTACTGCCTCAAAATCTCACGCAGGAAATGACATCTGGCGAGTTGAAATTTGCATTAGCTGTAGAAACCGTTTTGAACACTATACCTCAGCCGGAATATCGTCAACTTGTCGTTGAGGCTTTAATGGTTTTAACATTAGTGACTGAATACAACATTGCACCATCTTTAGGCGGTCTAATCGAGGTTGAACATTTAGTACATAAAGCGAACGCTATTTTCTTGGAAGATCAGGTATTCGTTTTATATTTATAATATTAATGCAGTAATATATTAATTAATGAATTTTTCTGTAAGAAAAATATGTAATATAATGTAAAAAAAAAAAAGAGTAGTTCACTAACTTTTATTCTTTCAAGCAATTTAGGCATTTATTGATACTCGTATTAAAAAAAAATACCTACTAGAATGTTACTAGAACTAGAATTGAAATGGATTTTATCAATTAATTTTGTTTAATACGAATCCTTTCCTGTATTAGAAATTAATTCTTTTTTATATTGAAAACACAGAATAGTTTTAATATAAAATGCATATGAATGACATAAAAGAATGATCATTTTACTAAATAAAAAAAAAACTTCTATACCTTTTAAATGTAAAAAATAATTATAAAATTTGTAGATGGCTATCGATGGTGACGCGACGTTATGTTGTGCAAAACCAAAGGAGCAGCGTGAGATGACAGCCATGGGAACACTTCTCTGTGGCGGAGCTGCATACATTTGTCAACATTTTTACGATACTGCTCCCAGTGGAAGTTACGGAACGATGACGTATATTACAAGAGCCGTCGCCGTGACGCTTGATTGTCTACCAAAGGAAGGCGATTTGGAATGTTCAATATCGTAATAAGTGTAATTTTAGAAAAGAAAGATCTACTATATTATGAATTATGGCAGAAAGGTTACCAAAATAAATATTTTGAACAAACTTGCGTTGTGATTTCTTTTGTATAATAACCTCCTGCATAAATGTAATTTTTTTGTAACTAGATATTTTAGTTTGAAAAATGCAGATCTTCCAATAAATAACAAATTAGTATATAGCCTGCACTTGTAAATTATAGATATTGATATCACAATGTTAAAATGCAGTAACACTGTTATCAAAATTTATTTAGTGTATACTTTGATACTAATGTAATAAACATTCATCCATTAAACAAATATAAATTAAGCCTTGGTAATTCTAATAAGTCTTTTTTATTTTCTTAATTATATTTAATATTTATAATTGTTAAATAATATGTGTCCCAAAGAAAGTTCATAATATTCAAAAATTAATAATTCAATGATGTATAAAACATTTCTCACGCACACATGATATCTAACAAACAGAAATTTACCTATTCGCGCTTTGGCGAACTCTTGGAGAAAGGGTTTAATTTGTTTAACCAACTCCTGTAAAAAAAAAAAAGGTTTTACTTGTAAATTTTACAATAGTAACATAGTATATGCATATATACATACGTTTCCTTTGGTAATACAACATCCACGTTTTCAGCTTCCTTAATCTTATTCTCTTTGAGTTTAGCAATTAATTCTGATCTATATTGGATTTTCAAAGGCTGTGGTTCTGTCTTGTTTAACTTGATCCACTTTTTACAGGCTTCCTTGTACGTTAAACCATACCATTCTATTTCTTCTCTCGTATACTGAAAATGTAACATTATGAATTCTATTCTATATGAATTGTGTTAATTATATTAAAGTAAATATTGTCTAGTTTAGTATTTAATATCTATAATTTTTAATAACTTGTGCAATGTATAAACAAATTTCTTACCGCTGAAAGATATTGCTCGTACTTGGTGTAAACCTCTGTACGCTTTTGTGGATCATCAGGATATAAAGTCTTATCTGCTAGTGCGACAAGAATCTGACGTTTCAGTCTCAAAGCAAGTAAAGATCTCAGATCGCAGGCTGGTGTCTGCAAATAATAGTCTGTAATACTACTGTAATTCAACAAAAATCTTATATACTTGTATCTGTCAAAATTTGTGTAGTTCCAGCTCCTTTCTTTATTTACTAGCTAATCAATGCACCTTCAATAAATAATGATCAAATCCGTAATTTTCGTGAATTAATCTGATTGCTCTCTCAGTAACAACAACTCTCATATACGTGTCAAGAACTTCACTATAGACAATCGACTTCTGCAGATGAGGGATCCAAAAATGTGGCACTCTTCTTTTATATATGCCTTTTTTCTTAAAGCCTTGAATAATGGCTTCTCCACCCCATATACCATTATCACTCTCTTTAGGATACGTTAGAGGTATTGGTATATTTTGTACTGGACGTCTGTAACAGATTGCTTAAAATATAAATTATTATAAATAAGGTACACATTTATGTATACATGTATAATATACATATATACACAACTATTTTATATTTATATATTCAATTGTCATAAGAATCATTATATTAGTTTAAAAGATACATACAGACTGTACTGGAAAAAATGAGCAATGTCTTACGAGCAAATCAAAAGGTAAAAAGAACCTTATAAGTATCTATAAATGTTTTCTACAACTTATTATTGCTAACAATAAGATATTTGTCTTCAAAGTTAAGATTTTTGAAAAGTATTTTTCTCAAATAACTTTTATATTGTCCATCTTTTCTGGTACACTCTATATAGAAACTGATTTTATATAAACATATAGGTATATTACACTTCTTCAGTTTCTTCATTTCTCTCGTAAGTGCCTTTCTTCTCAATATAATGAACTGCAGCCGGTCGTTGGAGCTTCCATTCTCTCCAGAATTTTTTAAATTCTTCTGGCAATTCGGCGCCGATTCCTTTACTCCATCGAGATGTTTTTGGCATATAATATAACCGCTGCAACAGTTTTATTATATTAATAAAAATTATGCATAATCATCAAATTTTTATTTATTTAAATTTTACATTAAATATGTATATTAATGTAATTTTTAAATCGCTACAATCAGTAATAATATATAGATGTTACAAATAATAAGATTGGCTATATTAAGAATTTAATAATAAAATTCAAAATATTAATTTTAATATTTATACATAGTAAATAAATGTAATAAATAAACAAATGAAACAATTTACAAGAATCCCGTAATAACAATCAAATAATAATATTAATTTAGAAAATACTGTATGGTAATTGTAATACTTATATCGTAACATGAGGTTAGATTTAAAGATCTTATCTTCTATCTTGGATTTGATAATAGAAGAACTTTATATTACCTGTCCACTTTGCTTAAGCGACATATTGTTATACGATTTTTGACCAGTTGATCAGAATTATGAATAATTTCAATAAAATGATACGGAGAGCACCGCGCTTACATCATACCTAGAGTCCTAGATTATCAGAGAAGCGCGACCGGCTTATGGCAGTATCGCAAAAGTACTAGAAAATATTAAAAATGGCGTCGAATGGCCAATCATAAGTTTGATTTATTCGGCAGCCATTTAA